ATTAGTTCTGATTTAGCCCGAACCAGGACAAATATATATCTAGGGGAAGGTGACGTGTCTTTTCATAATCAAGTCATGTTCCTTTAAATTTGTAGGATAATTATTTGGTTTTATTTGTGTTTTTCTTTTAATAAACTATTTCTATATATTTATAAAATAGAAACATTTTTATTTTATAATAGTCTATTACACTTGGAAGTAAGAGGTATTTGCTCAAAATGAGGGTTCCATGCTGCAGTACCTGCTTTCCTATAGTAGCACAGTGAAGTGTTGTTCTGTGCTACCATACAAAACATTAGAATAATCAAGGGAATTCCTTCAGCCCTGTAGGAAAGGAGACTGGAACCCAAACTGTCCAGTTTTCCCTGAATCTTGTAAGCAGAGTGGGCTAAAAAGAGACTACAATTTTCAGTGACAGACGGTACGAAATATTTGAAGCTACTGTTGGCATGTCTCCCTCACGCTGGCTCTCTTGTGCATTACAGCCTAGATCTAGGCTGTAGAACAAAAGGATTTACAAAAATGTCAGACGGATTCCACACCTTGCACTCAATGAGGCTGTATCTCTGCTAACTTCTTTTCCTTCCTGGGGATGTCCCCAGTAGCCTCATCGGGAAAGGAGATAACTCTGTTTAACTGACCGGGGAAAAGAATTGTACCCCGTAAGTCCATAGGCAGTGGGTAGGCAGCTTGTGCACGGCCAAGAGCGTGGTATCAAGTTTGTGGGTACTTTCATGCTGCTCTTTGTGGGGCTCTGCAGTGAAATTCCTTTGTCCCTCCAGCATTGTCACAAAAATGACATATCCGGCAGATTTATAATTTTGGCTGTTTCCATTCTCTACAGATCCATCATCAAGAAGGACATGCATCAAAAACAAAACTCCTACAGAGTAATTATGTCTATTTAGGAAAGGTCTTTATATGATAAAGGCTCTTATTTCAGAGGAAGAAATCTGTTAGCATTACAGAGATTTGCTCACTTTGGCAGAAGGCTCCTGAAATCAATAGATTCTGTTTCTTTTACATAGAGAGTACTGAATAAGACTTTATGATGGAGTTTTACCCTCATAGACTTTACCTTAATGGCATCTTCACTTAATTTTCCTGATAAAACCTTTATTGCAAATTCAGTAACCATTCTCCGTTTTAACAAGGTTGCCAGCCTGCAAATAATTTCGGAGACAGGATCTGTTTATGGGAACACATTAGCAAAATACAATCCAGCCATGATTTATCTTTCTTGCATTAACTTTGAGTAGCAGGGAGTCTGCAATCGAGGCTTTTAACTGCTAGTTTTGTGGTATTGGGTCCCCATCCACCCCGAAGCAGAGTTTTGATTTTGAAGGGTCTAAACCACAGTGGAAATCTAGACCTCACAGTCCATAAGACATATAACAAAGCACAAGCATCAAAGCAGATAGTTTCATGAAAGCATGAGCACTCCAGTTGATTTTACTATTCAGTCAATGAGCTGCTCCCTGTTGGGTCCTCTTGTCCAGAAGTCATAGGTATAGAAGTGATGTAAAGATTTTCCTTAATTAATCCTTTCTGCTAAGGGTGTAAAGGAAAAATCTTACTGTTGGAAATGAATGAATTTTGATAAAATGTTCTAAAAGCCTTCAGCCAGAGGCAGAACTATTAGAGAAAATAGTTCAAATAAGTGAAATTTGGTAAAATTGCTAGCAATTGAAACTGAGTTCCTATTATTAGAGGTATTGAGCATTCTTAAAATTCAGACTAGTGCTATCAGTACTGCATATAGTACTGTGAGATCTTTTTCTAGCAGTTAAGGGAAATAGCCTTTAGACAAACATTTTGATTTTGTAACTATGTTCTGAGATTTGTGGTTTTGATGTTCATGCTTCCTGCAAGCCTACAATGCATGAATTAGAGAGTTTGTAGAAGAACCGTCTGGGCAACAGCAGGATAATTCTGGCACTCTTCCTTGGGGTTTTATTTTCTTGCATAAAAATACAGGAGTGAACCACCACCCCCAAATCCACTAAAGCCTGAGCAACAAAGGCAAGCACAGTTAGTCTGTATTGCAGAGGACTTTTCAGCTTCTGCAAAAATTGAAAAGGAGAGTTGAATTGTTTCCTTCTGCAGCCGTTGCCCAGCTGCTTTCTCAACTTCATCCTCTGACATCCATATAACAAGCTAGTGCCTGCGTGACCTCGTGCACTGGGCAGTACAGTCCATTCTCACAGGAACCTGTAGTCCAGCAATTCCTCAAGCTGTCTGTACAGATATTGGGGCTTTCTTTAAGTTAGAATTACAGTCTGGTTTGGGTTGGAAGTGACCTTAAAGATCATCTAGTTCCAACCCCCTGCCATGGGCAGGGACACCTCTCACTAGACCAGGCTGCTCCAAGGCCCATCCAACCTAGCCTTGAACCCTGCCAGGGAGGGGGCAACTTGTGCCAGTGTCTCACTGCCTTCACAGTGGAGGACTTGTTCCTTATATCTGATCTGAATCTCTCCTCTTTCAGTTTGGTTGGATGGGGCTTGGAGCAACCTGGTCTAGTGGAAGGTGTCCCTGGCCATGGCAGGGGGTTGGAACCAGATGATCTTTAAGGTAGATCCCTTCCAACCCAAACCGTTCTATGATTCTGTTAAGAAAACACCACCTTACTGTGCAGACCTAGGCATAGGATTTATTGTAAGAAGTAGACATTTTGCATTAGTAAGTTGGTAGTATCAGTTATGGTTGCAAACAAAGTGAGAGCTCTGACTGAAGCCCTCTTACCTACCTATCCCTACCAGCTCTAAAAACTTGCAATGAACATATATGATTGTTATAGACTATAAACATTTTCTTTTTTTTATGCCCTTTATGACTTCTTTTATTTTAAAAGCCCCATGTAGTTCTTTCCCAGTGCAATGTGGCATATATTGTGGATGAACTACTTGCTACTTCGCCAATATTTTCCTTCTTTTGCCCTTTATATCTGATCTGCCACAAATTCTAGTTCTCTTGATGTCATGCAGAAATATATTACTACTTCATGAAAGTCTCTGCATACTCTCAATTTCAAACCAGAAAAAAATGTAGACAATTGAACTTGCACCTTCTCTGAGAATGGAAATGCACAAATGTTCTTTCAAGAGCTCTGGAAGGGAATCTGTTGAATCTCATCATGTTTTTCATATATTTTCCAGCTGTATTTCATACTAGTACTTTCAGCTTTCTGCATAAGTATACTTTTCTACAAATATTTATATGTAAAAAGTCACAAAATGCTACTCTTAAACCATATTTCTCTTTTTCCCGTACAGTAGAAATTGACTGGTTTCAAAACAGATATATTTCAGAAGATTCCCATATGGAGTGTGCGCATTGATGAGCAGGAAGTGTTACTGGGCAAGAACCATGCTTTCTCCACACCACTGCCTTGCACTAGTCCCAGGAGCGCTTATGATGTTCTACTAACATCTTCTCTAAACCCCTTTAGTATTCTTCTCCCTGTGTTATCCTCCATAAAACAGTATGGCATGCTACGAATTAGATACTTAGAGTAAGGCAGATCTGTCTATCAATTTGGTCAAGAGATAGGATGCTCTTTTGCCTCTAAGTGGGTAACAATTGGAAAAGATTCTTTTTAATGCTTAGTACTTTACTCACTTTATTTTTCTTTTTAGTGCATTGGAAAATAAATCTTAAACATTTCTTCTGTTATCTAGCACTTTAAGCCTTTTCATAGCATTTGTAACATCTCTTTGCCAACACTCCATCTGTGATTTTAGCTTGCAGGAAACACTTTGCAATTCTGTTATTAGCTTAGATGCAGAGAGCTGCTGTTTAAATATTAATTGTAGCTTCCCTCATAAGTGCAGTCAACCCCACTGAGTAACTCATGTAGTTCAATAAATATTTAGGAGATGGTGGGGAGTGTGTGGTGGGTAGGGCCTGCTCTTAGTCTTAGCAAAGGTCTTACTCAAGTTAACGGTACAAAATAGATCATGTCCTGATGCTTGCTGTTTCGTTTCCTCTTCTTACCTCAGTTCCAGTACTTGTACACACACAACACAAAGAAAGAAAAAAAGAATAATGTTGAACTGCAAGTGTACTTCTGGCACGGTTAGTGGACTACCTGCTAAACCTGTTAGAAGCGAGAGGAATGCCACACAGTGCTTGCAAGAAAAGATGAGATCCGTTGGTTGTTTCAAATCCTGGTTCCTGGACAAATACGCTTCTAAAGTCCTTGTGTGTTGCTCTGCCAAGAATGACACCTCAGTAGAGGCATTATCTTGTGGTTGAGCCCTTCTCCTCTGTTTTCAATCATAAGCCTCATGCTATTTCATTGCTTGATTCCACAAAATATACTGTACACTTAAAAATAGGAAGATATTATGTGTTTACAGACATTTTAGTAAAGTGTATTTGACAGAAGTGAGAAACAAAGTAGTTAGTACCATCTGACCAGAGCGTTGTAATTCTAATACTCATATTTGGTACAACTGAAAGAAGATCAGCCCCAATAAAAACGTATGCTGTATTTTTCCTCTCTCTTCTTCTTCCAGATGGTTATTAATCTTTTATTGTTGAGGTGGTTTGCCTAAGGTGTAATCTGAGATTTTTTCCTCATGTCATTTAAGTGAGTTACTTCTCTTTGTGTTTGCAGGTGTACTGAATTTTAATAAGTTGAATTCTGTTAATTGCTTAGAATTTAGATATTTTTCTTAGTATCTTGCAAATGTATAATGAATTTTAAAAAATTAAGTAGTACCCACATACTCCTCTTATTTTTCAGCATTCTGTGAAGAAGGGTGCAGATATGGTGGAACTTGCGTAGCCCCTAACAAATGTGTCTGCCCTTCTGGATTCACAGGAATTCATTGTGAGAAAGGTAAAGCTTTACCTTCTTCTTTGGTAATGAGAAATATGCTGAATTAATAAACAAATACTTTCCATTCATTCACTTTGCTTGATATTTTCTTTTGGTTGAAGATATGACTGTTCTGTAGTTGCCTTTTCTGAACTGAAAGCTTGTCTTAAATTAAACGTGGAAAGTTTTAGACAACCAGGGATGTATCTGCTTTTGCTTCCAGTGGACACTTTTAATTAATTAGAGGGTATGGCAAATGAAAAATATTTACACCACCTATCTCCTGTGGTGCAAACTCAAGGTTACCTTCTGCTTTTTCTAAATCCGTTGTGTAAATTATATCAGAATTTGGATGCTTGCTTTTCACTTAAAGTTCTTGAATTGTTAAGATTTTATTTGTGTCTAAGTCACTGAGGCCACCGATTTTCAAAGAATCACAGACTGTTCAAATATATCTCACTAGTGATGATTTGATTCTGCCTTTTCCCAGGTTTTTTTCTGTTTCAAGATTTGCTTCTGACAGTCTCTCAGGCACACCTTTCTGTTCTCTTCACAAAGGTCTGCTTCCTTGTCTACATTAAATGAAAAGGAATGGATTTTACAGAATTCAATGTAGGACTCTTATTAGATTCTTTATACAGCAGATTTGGGATTTTATTTTAGTTGGTATTTATTGAGGTTGTATTTCACTTAAATAAAAGAATGATAGAGTTTTTTGCATTGCATGTTTGTTGATAAACCTTTTGCACTTGCCTTTACTGGTGGAAATAAACTGGATTGTTAATGCAGATTATATGATGCTAATATGGATGAGGTTATAATTGGTGAGGTTTTTTTAAGGAAGGAAAAAAAAACCCCAAACCAAGAAGTAACTCTTAAATGGTAGGTTAAATCACTGGAACCACTTGTTACCCAGAGATGGTTCAGTACTCTGTGTGTAGCAGCATCTGTTCGATATGCAGCTGTTCTATAATACAAAGTGACTTAAGCCCAGTTGTCAGCAAGTTTACCTGGAGTAGCTTCTGAAAACTGCTAAAGTTTTTTCTGGATGTACTCAAGTCACTGCACACTAAAATCCCATAGTTTCTAGTTGTCAGCATTGTTTCTAATTATTCAAGAATGAACTAGGCTTTTAACACTTTCATATCAACTTGAATAAACGAGTACTGCGTTTTTCTTTTTGCCTGTAGCCTTTGGGTTGTTTTAAATATAAAAAAGCTCCCGAGCCTCCTGACGTTCAACAGTAAGTACTGGCAATATACACGAGGAAGTAATACAAGAAGTTCCTGCCTCAGAGCCCCAACTACCATAGCTCCCCAGCCTCTAATCCTTCCTGCTACTTACCCTCTCCCATGCCTGATTTGCACATTCCTTTCTAAAACTTTTACTCTTCAGAGGGAGCAGTACATTAAGAGGGATGCAGGGTACCAGAGATGTGTTCTATGTATCTGAAAATATGGTACTGCATAACCAGTACCTGCGTTGCCCAAAGGTGCCCTGCCTACTGTCACAGAGGCACCCAGACAACAGCCAGAGCAGTCACTCAGAACATCCCTAAAGACCTGAGTACACCTGAAGCCCAGGTGCCGGGCAGAGGCACTCACGAAATAGTGGGGGATTTATTCCGACCAAAGTTAGCTAGCACTCCAACAGACCAATTAAAGTTTGGGTGTCAGTTGGGAATATCCCACTATACAGCTGACCTAAGAATTCCTATGTTTTTTTAAATAGGCCTCTTATAAAAGTGATCCAAAATGTGCACTTACTCGTCCACTAAAGCGGGGAATAACCTCTCACTCAAGGGTACCCAAAACTAGAATGGCTCACACAAAAGGGTGAGGGCTCACTCAAGGCTCTACCCAGCAGTATTCACCCACCCAAGGTGCAGGGGTGAGGGCGCTCAACCCTGGGGAGTTTCCTCAGGCGGGTTCTGACCCGCAGGGAATGTCCCCGACTACAGACCCGCTGCTCCCAGCAGGACCAACTCCAGTCGGCTCTGCGGTGGGGTCCTATTTATACTCGAGTTGAGTCTGGCCCGTGGTCAGCTCTGATGAGTTGACGCTGGGGCAGAAGGCAAGGTAAACCCAGTGATCAGGTTTTCAGCGGCCAGAAAGCCCCGTCTGTGTGTGCTTTGTCCAGCCTCCAGAAAGACCTGATCTTTATGGGGTCTTTAGCAAGCCCTGGTCATTTTGGGGTCAGGGTGGGTGTACCTGCTCCAGCTACCCACAGACTCAGTGGCTGTCAGCCAGTTTTCAGCTCGACTGCCTATGTTACTTTCACCTAAGAATCTTAGAACTACCTTTTTTCTTACAGCTGTAAAGGGACTTCCATAACTAGAACACAGAGTCTTTAAACTGTTGAAGTGGTGTTTAAAATAGATAAATGGATGACATAACCATTGTTGTCTCCTGTTTTTCATGTCTTTTGTATTGTTTAGATCTAAAATATGAGTTAGTACACCAAGTAAAGGAAACATGGCAGGCATAGTATTCTCATTATATCAAGAAATTTAGGGGTAGATGTCAGAGGGAGCTAGTTTCAGTGTATAAAATCTATACAACTTGAACCAGAAGGAAGTTTATTTTTTTCTTTGAAGATGTATAGGATTTACCAGTAAGCTACAAGTCAAACTAATGATGGTAACTTTGGCAAATCTGATGTGCAAACTGGTTTGACAACGAATAAACTTTGTGTGTGAGAAGTTGTCACATTTTAGTTGTACTGGAGAGTTTGGAAATTTCAACATCATGTGCATATTTCAGTGGCTATATATAGATATTAGAGAGATATATAAATATATATAGATAAGTCAGATCTATGTGAGAACAGCTTCAGCCTTCCGAAGGTGCATGTCCTGGAAAAACTAAATGTCCAGAGTAGAAAGGTGATGAACTACCTTTGAAGCAGGCTTCTCTTTGCTTACCTGCTTTCTCCTCAAAGAGGTAACGCTGTCAAGAAGAAGAGGCAGTTCAGTAAAGACTTCACTCGTAGTCTGACTGCAGTTTGCTGCAATGTTTTTAAAGAACATCCGAAGTATTCAAAAAACCATGTTTGTTTGTTTGGTCCGTCTGTGTCGTCCCCTGTCGTGTCGTGTCCCGCCCCCCGTCCCGTTGTCTGTAACGTTAGAAATAAACACTTTGTTATATTTAACATACGGTAGCACACCCTCCGTCATTATGATATAGGCCAATGGTGGGACATCGCTTTTAAAACAGAACTTAAATGTTCCTGGTAAAATCTTGTCTGATGGAAGCTCATGGTGAACTGATGCATATCAGAAATAAAATGATGTGTTTTGGTAATGTATTCTGTTTGCCACAGTGCATTTAAAAACGTCCTTCAAACCAACAACACAGCAATTCCTTTTACATTATTTGTGAGCTGAAAGGACTCATCACCAGCTAAAAACAGTTTGACCCAAATTGGCTTCAACATCATGTAAGGGGTAAAATGAACCAGTAATTAGAAATGTTGTTGAAAAGCAGGTGCATTTGCGTCTGAATATGAATCATATATTACTCATCGTTTTTGACTGCCTGGTTGAAATGATGATATTAGGTTAATTAAAAATTCAGAGATATTTGAGAAGGGTAGGATTTATGTTGGTAATTTACTCAGGTGAAATTAAAATACACATTTAAGGCTTATGTACAAATACATAATTCAACATGCTGCTAAGAAGAATTACCGCTTGCAGTTGCTTTGCCTGAAATGAGGAATCATCATAACGGTTGTGGGGCTGCCTTTTCTTTTTGAAGGTGAACTGCAGATTGATATCCAGAGGTACTGTCAAGTAATTCCTCCATCTATCCATTCCTTAGAATGGTGTTTCTTTAAGTATTTGCCTGATGCTTCTACAGAATTTTTGTCATTTTTTAATTTAGAATCTGATTCTATTTTCTAATGAATCATTTGTTTGTTTAGTGTTTAGCTGGCCAGGGCTCAGATCAATGATCTCTGTGATCATTACCATTTGTGATCCTATTTAACACAGTTGTGATACCTGAGCTAGAAAGTTTTTATGTTAGAATTTTTGCTGACGTTGCTGTGTGGTTCCAGCATGTACGTGCCTGACAGCTGAGCTGGAGATATGCATCCTTGACTGTATGTAACACGGTTGGCTCAAGCCCAGGTGCATCCTTGGCAGAGATCCCTATTAAAGGCTTCTGAGAGACATTTTGGTGTGGAGGGAGAAATGCAAACACAGTGCTCTGTGAGAGTTGTTGGCAGCATGGACTCAAATGCCCTAATTTTCCATCCAGTGGTGTTTTCTCCGTCTTGTATTTTTGCAACGTTAAACAAAATAATCCCGTCATTCCTTGAGCAACTTTTCTGGTGTGTTTTTGGTAGATTAGGACAACATGTAGGCTGGAGCTCAGAGAGGTAGATATTTTTGTGTATTTATGGTCTTTGTAAAGCACTAGAGCACGTTTTTCTCACAGAATGACAGAGTGCTATCAAAGAATTACCTGCTGGTTGTAAACAGTCACAGGCAAGGTTAAGACATGCCAGCGAAGCATCAGGATGTGATAATTATGGGGGTTATGTTTTGTGTGTGGTTTTGGACTGTGTGTACAAAAGATTGATATTGGAGTAAGAGGTCATTTCTCAGTATGTACCAAGGCTGAGAAATGTGCTTTGGATCCCAATATTTATATTGCAAGTGGGGAAAAAAATAAATAAGAAAATCAGCTCTCTCAGTATTGCATTAGTTGCATATGGATTCTTCAGTGCAGTCACAGATTTCACAGATGTGTAATGAAATGTTGTTATGCTTATGTCTTGAAGTTGGATATGTCATGAAAATGAGGAGGTCTTTAGCAGATTTGTTTCATAATAGCTGGCAGTATCAGGAGTTATTGTCTAAGAAGCTGCACACTTTGTGTACTCCTCTCTTAAATTGCGTCTTTGGGAATATATTGTCTTCTGCAGCCCTTTGGGTAAAACTCCCTACAGTCTGTATTCCTTTGGACCTTAGAGGTAGAAACACATGTGAGAATCATATTTCCATGTGCTATTTC